CTCAAACATGATGCACTTTGAAAACTCAGCATTTGCCTCACCGTAGTGCAGATAAAACTTAGCCAACTCAGTAAACTTCGCAGCATATTCAACAACTGACATACTACCTTGCTTAAGTTCAAGGAATTCAATTTCCTTCTTACCACGAACGTCTTCAGGAAAATACTTCCTCATAAATTCCATACGGAACACATCCCAAGTGACATTTTCATCCACAACTTCCAATCTCTGACAAGTCTTTAGCCACCAGTCATCAGCCTCGTTTTCTAGCATATGAGTACCATACCAAACCTTCTGCACTGGAGTGCAGTCCATCACACGAAAGATTATCTCAATCTCTTTAAACCAATCCAAAGCTCTGTCAGGATCATACTTTCCCTTGAACGTAGGCGGATTCTCCCTCTGGAAATTCGTCAAACTACGAGATCCAACATTCCCGCCAGTGTTCGGCTGATTCTCCATAGCATGCGCCATTGCTTCTAAAGCAGCAACAAGTGCAACATCATTCCTTCCAGCCATCTCAACTTATCACTACAACATAAACAACAGTTAGAACTCAAATTAACAATACTCAATTATTAGTCAACTACGACTCGAAAACTTGGTCGGACCGACTGACTTTGCTCTTATACCAACTTTGTAACACCCCAATTCTACCCGAAAATTATAAATGTAAATCAGAGTTATAAAATTCATACAATTCAATCAGGAAGCCACAAATTCAACTTAAAAACACATTTCATTCAACATGGATACATAACACTTTAAAAATTTCGGATGAACCAACAGCAAAATAAATTAATCTCTTAATTCAACAACTTGAACAACTATGCAGCATAATCATAATAACATCTTTGTCCAACATGAACCACTTCAAATAACAATCATTTAAAGAACAACATCTTAACATTCAATCAACTGAAATAATAACAATAATAAACAACAAGCGTTCATCCCTCCCAAGTGTTACGTATCAGAGCAATGACACCAACTTGACATACTGAAGGTAAACCTCCTTCACTTTGGATTACCTGCACGTTACCAACATAAGGGTAACATTCAAACAGTAAGGGGTGAGACTCTCAAATCGTATAAGTGAGCGCATGATAAATCATATATTAGAATTCAAGAATATAAAACCATCACATTGCAACATCAACATTGTCATTCCCTTCATAATACATTTTTTTCACAAACCTTACTTGTTTTAATCACAACTTAAATCACCACAATTCACATCAGTATTAATTATGCAAGACTCAATGAGACATAACTGTGCACATGCATGTGGTACCAACAGGGCTTCAGCCCCCATCGCCAATTGCCAATTATTAGAGGCATTCAAACAAGGCATAAGCCTTCATCGCTAGTTTTCTAATCCAGGCCATCACAAAGTATGCAAATGAATGTGACTCAATGAACATGACATCACATATCATAATCGCCAATAACAAAATATCTTCGCAAGGCACACACCTATATCACTGATATTACCAATTAATAGAGGTAAATATTCATCATAACAATTCCTGCAACTTCACATCATCACAAAATATTTGCAGCATCGTAGCATCAATGCACATCACAAAGTAAACTACAAACATGATAGTCGTTTCCAAAACATTCCCATAAATCTCTATGTATTAGTCCTTCATTATTTAATTATTCTCCTAATATTCACTTCTAAAATACACTACATGGAAATATATCTTATTCTTCTATTTAATTAATCCTCCAAAACAATTTCTGCAACTATACCAACTATTTCTAACTCTGTCTTATTACTACAGGCTGTTAAAATTATGTTGTAACTACTAAATTAAGATTACTGACATAAAGGCTACTTCTATTAATGTCTTTCTGCTATAACATACTATTGATAAGAATGGTTCAATTTGTTCCCAAAATACTTTTGTATTAATGAATTCTATAATGATACCATATAAAAATTATATAACACATTTCCACAAAAACAAGTGCCTCTGTGCCTAACAATCAGTGTCGAACGACACTCTTCTTCCACCACAATGCCCAGTGCCGAACGACACTCTTTTCTCTCTCTCAAGGCTGCCGACTGGAAGAACTCACCATTAACAAGGTGATGATCGACATGCCCCCCTTTTATAATTTTCAAACTTCTTGTTACTTCGCCAGTTTCCTTCGATCCACATATTTTCAACGAAACAGTCAATCAACAACACACAGGAATACAAAAGTTTCACCAATATTCATCACTAATTAATTCCTAACATCAATTGCCATAAACAAACCCAAACAATAATAATTTACACCTTAAATCCCCACATACAATTCCTCATAAGCCCCATTATAGGATAAGAAATTCCACCCTTACCTAGTTTGGTTTGAAGGCAACTCTATGAGTCTCCGATCGAATATTTTCTTGGCCTCTTGGTTCAACTTCACGTAACTCTCTTCTTCTCCAAAAATCCTAAATTCCTCTTCCTCTTCTTACTGATAACCAACTTCTCTTCCTCTCTTATTTTCTAATAATAATATAATATTATTTACTAATCTAAATAAATCCAATTGGGCCTAAATGCTACACCCCACTTTTTACTTCTTGACGCTATAACATAAACCCATTACTAACTCTATTCTTATTTCTAATAAAATTAATACTATAATGTTTCTACCACTTAATCAATCCATCACTTAAATAATATTTCATTAACCCAACATAAAAATTATTATTAATCAACTAATTAATTAATAATTCTGACAACTTTCACCAATAATACTTAACATCATGCAACATCACAATGATCCAAAAATATAATTTAATTAAATAATTAATTAAATTAACGGGCGTTACATTACCAAACCCTTTAGGATCATATATGAAAGTATATGGTTGTATAGAATGGGTACCGGGTCAAACTTCCTTTCTGGTTTCTTCTGCCTTTGTTGATTTTGTTGTGGATAACGATTCTGGCGATTCTGTGAAGAATTCTGAGGAGAAATCTGAGGAGGAGCTATCCATGGCTATTGGTATGGAGGCATGGCAACGTTGGGTTATTGGTATTGAGTAGATGTAACATACAATACTGTTAGTATGTCATGAGCGATGATTGTTGGTAAGCTGCAGGCTGGTAGGTAAGTGGATTCTGAGATCCTCCTCCACTAATGGAGACAACATTCCTTTCACCCCTCTTCTTCTTCTGGAAGCTTCTAGGGAATTTCTTAGTGTGGTTGATGTCGGGTGATCCCGCAACACTGAAAATTTTTCCATTCTTCAAGCCTTCTTCAATATGTTCCCCAATGATAACAAACTCAACGAAGCCAGAAGATATGCTTCCAATCATCTTCTCATAAAAGACTGGTTGTAATATATCCATGAACATGCTTGTGAGTTCTTTCGCAGCGAAAGAAGGATTAACCTGAGAAGCTAGATCTCTCCAGCATTGAGGATACTCCTTAAATGTTTCCTTGTCTTTCATGTTCATAACTTGCAACTGTCTACGGCCAGGAGCCATATCCATGTTGTACTTGTATTATTTCAAGAAAGCTTCAGCCAAGTCCCTCCCATAGTTGATGCAGTCTCTTGTCAGGCTCATGTACCATTTCAAAGAAGCTCCAGTCAGACTGTCCTAGAAGTAATGAATAAGTAGCTTATCATTCTTTTCATGGGTAGCCATTTTGCAGAAGTACATGGTCAGATGATCCTTTGGAAATGTAAGTCCCTTATACTTTTCGAATTCAGGACTTTGAACTTCACGGGCACAGTCAAGTCAGAAACCAAGCAGAGGTTTGTGGTGTCAAAGCCAAAGATGCCACTTCCTTCCACAACTTTCATCCTCTTCTCAATAACATTGTACTTTTCCTCGACTTCCTCAACTTTATTAGTCTGATCCTGATCCCCATTCTTGGAGCCATCACCATTCTACATAAAGGGATGACTGTTGAAAGCCGTTTGAGCCATTGTATGGATAATTGGCTGTTGTTTAGTGATTACTGGTATCTTCATAGGCTGCTGAGAAAAAGATCCTACTCCAGGTGCACCCATGTGTTATACCCTAATTTTTGCCCCTAAGTTTCCTCATCATCGCCATATAATCACAATGCATCAAGATCACAAATTTAGGTTGGTTATCATTTCTAATCTCTCTTATCTTTAAGTTTGCTCTTAAGGGATTATCAAGCACCCTGATTGTGTATCATGTACATTGTGTTTTATGTATTCTTTTACCGACCTCTAATCAAAATACCAAAAATATTGCTTTATTCTTGTGTATTTGTGTTTTGTAGGTATCGAGCCAAAGCATCCAACCAACAGAGCGTTTTGCCATTTTTTCACTGCAAAAATCGATTTCCCATATATTAGAAATCAATTTCCTTAACTTATTTTGCGCATGGATTTCAGTTTTTCAAAGCAGAAATCGATTCCCCTATATGGAGAAATCGATTTCCTGTGCGAAATTGCCAAAAAGAAAGAGTATTTTCAAGTTTGTAGCAAGTGGCTCCAATTTCCTTTTTTTTAGAATATTCTTGATTACCAAAAAAATAATTCCCCTACCTCATCATAATTAAATTCTATCATACACCCTCATTTGATTACATGTGCACCACTTGATTTAATTTTGGCTCCAAAAATCAATTACCAAGCCTAATTTTGGTTCCAAACCAAACTCCAAGTCACCACTAATACCAAACCTAAACTCTATAAATAGAGCCTTCATTTCATTCATTTCACAAGATTTTGATAGCCAAACTCACCTTGCAAAAAATCATCTCAACTCTCTTTATCTACCAAATTTACCTAAAGCTCTTTCTCCATTAAAGTTAGTAAGCTTTTCATTGAAGCTTACTAATCTTTGAGCTAAACCTTCATCCAAACACTTTTTCTTCATTAATCCTCAAAATCAAAGTTTGGTAGATTGATTCTTGAAGTTGATTTAAAGCTTGATTTAAAGCTTGATTCTTGGGGGATTGTGGAATTTTGTGTGATTTCCTAGATGTTATTTTTGTTTTTTCTTGACTTTCTAGAAGAGTAGAATACTATGTATTGAAGGAATGATGTGATGATATTCCACTATTTTGCAGGTGTATAAGATGATGGTGTGAGCATAAAGGATGCGTGGACATGAAGAAGCTGCTTGGAATACTTCTTTTCTATTTTGCTTCTTGTACTGATAAAAAATAAGAAATATTGTGTAGTATGTGTACCTGTAACATAATATAAAAGTGAAATAATATGTAATTTGTTTCATCTGTATAAATAAATGGTGACGATGCATGGATGTCCTTTGTTGGAGAATGCTACAGGTGATACAAACATGTGACAATAATATGGCCCTTCCCGAAAGTTTGTGTGACCTAATTGGGACAAAAAAATGAAATATTTAATTTCTTTATTTAACAAAACATGCCTTCTTTTTTTATTTATTTTGTTTTAAATCAAACAACAATGCAATTTTATTTATTTAAAGCAATAACAATAATTTAATTGCAATGTTAATTACCACTGAAGTTTAAATAAAAAATGCAAACTCGATCACTAATGCAACAATGCAAATTACATGACAATTTCAAATGGTTAATGTGGATGTGACCATAATGCAATATGTAAAATGAAATGACTATAATTTGCGAATGAAGCAACATTCAATTTTTATTTGAATGTAAATAATGTAAATGCTTTTAATCAAAATATAGTGTCAATGAATCGTTTTATTAACAAATAAAATTTCAGGGCGAAATTTAGACTGTGAGAACAACACACAATGTCATGACAGATGTTATAACATTTGCTGATAGAAAACAAACTTGCTAAAACAAAGAGATTGTGCAGAAAAGTAAACTTGTAGAAACTTAAAGAGAACAATCAATTGTTAACCCAGTTCGGTGCAACTCACCTACTCTGGGAGCTACCAATACATGAAGGAAATCCACTATCGGTAGTATCAATTCAAAGCTCAAAAATCCTAGTTTACAACTTCACTTAATCCCTACCCAATGTAATTTATACCTAGGAACCTCTTAGATATGAGAACCCCTCTCACTCCCAATCACCACAGTGATATCAAACAATCCCAAATCTAGGGAATGTGTCAAAAAACCAAAAATAAGATTACACTTCTATTGTACCCAAAAAATTTCTCTGTCATTTATCAAGAATTTGCTCACAAGATCTCCTTGGCTCAAGACTGCATTAGGGTTGATCAGCTCAAGACACCTCCTTAAGCACTGATGACCAAAATTAGGGTTTGAGACTGCACAAGGATATTTGAACTTACAATTCCCCATATGACTTTGATGGATCATTATGGGCCCTCAAGATCACTCATGTCAAGTTTCAAGCTTTGGATCACACTTTTGCTCAGTCAATTGAGCAGTTGACCTAAAAAATAGTTGTATTGGGGAAAAAGTCAATTGTGACCAATTTACAGTCAAACTTCATAATTTTTTATCCACGTCAACATTTTAAAATCATATGTATCATTTGATCAAGTTTGGACCATAATTCCTCAAGAAATTTGATCAAATCTTCAAAAGGGCAAAATGGTCAAAATTAGGGTTTTGACTGGGAAAGGGCAATTTCTGATTTTTGACCTAGAAAATGATCAATTGGTTTAAGGTATGATATCAAGAGTCCAATTGCATCATTTTGACCTAATGACATGGCTCAACACATTTCTCAAGTCCAATAGATTGACAGATGAATTTTCAGTCAACTGATCAAAAGTCAACTGTATACTGAAAAGTCAAACTTTGACTTTTTGGTCAAAATCAAATGTCAAAGATCACAATTCATCAAAACATGTCAAAATATGAAACTTATTCATCAATAAATCTAAAATTCAAGATTTCATTTTGAAAAGTTAAAATTTCTAAACTTAGAAATTTTTTTGTGTTGGAAATTTCTTATTTTTTTTACAACTTTGAGCAAAATTTTCACCATGATGCAGGTTGATTCAAAAGAAACTTTAAACATAAAAGTTGTAGATCTCCATGAAATATACAACATTGATTTACACAACTCCTTCCAAAAGTGTTTGGATCTCAAGTTATAATTTTAAGAACATATGGTCATGAAACAAAACACTTAGTGAAAATGTTCCCTAATTTGGTCAGGATTTTGACCTAACTTCATGGCACTTTTTCATATAATTCCAAGGGTAATTTTCAAATGTGATTCAAAGAGGGGTTGTAGATAAAATTACAAGCTTTCCAAAATGTCCAATAACTCCTTAAGATCATTTTTGAGTAGGGAGAATCAAAGAGATGTAGTTAGGGTTTTCGCACTTGAATTACAAGTCATTTTGTGATGAACAAGATTCAAAATTCAAACTTATGATGCATAAAATCTACTTTTCAGGCCTCAAACTTGTTAGGCACTCCATAATTAATTGCTCGCACAACTTTTAGAGGTCTCAATTCAAGCATTCAATGCAAGTCCATGCTTTATATCCATTTTGGGAAGAAAGTGCACAATGCCATTTTGATAAAGTAGCTTTTTGCATAAAACTTGTTCTTGAGCCTTGCAATTGCTTTCTTCTGATCATACAAGTCCCATAACTCAAGAGAAACTTGTCTAGACACTTACAATCACTCCGCCCATGCTTGTACTTCCTCTTGAAACTTGTTTTCCCACTTTCCTTGAAAATCAAGTAACATAGCAATTAGCTTGTAACTTGTACTTCTGACTCTCAAAAGCACTCAAGACCTTTTGCTTATAAATTCACAAGTCATTTGCCACAAATCCCACGCATGCTTGAGCCCTGAAAAGACCAAGAATACAGAATCACCAAAAACACTTCAAAACTTGCCATTTCTGAGTTTTGAATCCAATCTCCAAATTTGCTAGTGCATTTCTTGGCCTTTTACTTTCAAAAGCTTCTAAATAACATACTCAAACAATTCCAACACATGCAACACCACTGTAACACCTCCATCATCATCCACCATTTTCAAAAACAGCACCTTGCACCTTGACTTCTCCAGAACTCCTCAGGCACTTTCAGCTCAAGCTAAGCATCACATTAGCTTTCTGGTAACTTGAGGAAGCTAATCCTATCATTGGAACTCACTAAAAGCTACTCAAACTCCAAACACGATACCCTCTTGCAAGGTAAGTTTTCTGACTTTTAGACTCTTCATACAGGCATCATTAATGGTTTATTTGTGAATGAAAAATGAAGATATCATTGCTCTGAAGCTAACCATGTCCATAGTTTGCATTTATATTGCTTGAGCTTAGAGAATTTTAAGATTGAAGTTTCTGAAATTTTTAGGGTTCAGATTAGGGACATTAAAATTCATGTTTGTCTGTAATCTATAATTTTATTGCTTTACATTTCTGAAATCATGAGAAAATTTGCCACAAGTTTCCTGTTTACAGTTTTCATTTTTGTTGAGAATGGAATAAGATACAGAGGTTCAGGCTGGGCGTGGGGTTAAAGATGAAGTTGGCCTCAGGAACATGTTTACCATATATACTTATGGTTTTATATTAATAAACTAATGTATAGCCACCCCAGTGGTAGAAGCTCGCGCCTATGACTATAAGGACCTGGGTTCGAGCCCTAGTGGTACCCTTTTGGATTTTTTTTCATATTTTTCATATTCTGACCCTTTTTTGGCAGCGCTGGGCCTCATCTCATTGGGCTATATTTTTTTTTACTTATGACCCCCCTTGTTGGCTATTCACACCCCCAGTCCATTTTATTTTATTTTTCTCTTTTTTATTTATTTGTTTTTTTCTTAAATATTTTATCTAACACTAAAAAATCAGAAAAAATATAAAAACATTAGATTTATATTTTGATATAGTTTATTTTTTTTTACATAAAAAAATTATTTTATTTAATCATACTTTATTTATTTTACAAATTGGTTTGTAAATTTAATTAAAAAACTAGGGTTTTAGTTATTTTCTTAAAATGTATTATTTTAATATATAAAAAGACCAAAAAACTTTTATAATACTATAATTTATTTTTAAGACAAAAATACCAAAAATATTCTTCTTATAACTTAATTCCTTTTTTAATCAATTAATAGATTAGGGTTTTATTTAAATTCTTTTCCTAGTAAATTTAGGTTTTACTATTTAATTAATTATTTTTATTTTAGTTAATTAAGTTAAAACAAAACCCCTTTTCCATAAAAAAATCCAAATATAAATACATTTCCTTTACATTTACATACTTGTATTTATTCATTTTTGTACATTATTTATCCAAATTCAATATGGTTGTAATAGATAATTAGGTTTATTTTCCAAGCAATCCCCATTTGTAATTTGTACACCCCCCCCCCCCCCCCCCTCCCACAAGTGATGTAATAGTGTAGTAATTTTAAATTCCGCAATTTATCACTTTATATACAAATGCTAGTAATTAGGGTTTGTATGGAAAGACTAAAATCAATCAATTAGAAAACCCTAATCAAAGACAAAATCAAGCATGAAAAAAAAACAATACACTTGCACACAAGCACCCTTAGGGTAAAATCCACTTGGTTGCCTTACAAAATGGCCATATTACGCATGTGAGGTATCTTAGCAAAAACAAGCAAAATATAAGATAATAATCCTTCGATGAAGCTATCTATGTTGCCTTTCAAATGATCTTAGTCCCTAAAAGAGAATGCTAAGATACCTTGCAACATTGCTGATTATGGTTATACGATGACCCACGCCCGTCCCGTTTACATCCAAAGATAGGGTTACTTACCAAATCAATGGTAAGATAACAATGTCAAAGGAAAGAGGAAATGAACATAAAATACTTTTGAGTAGGTAGAATGCTCCTAGTTACTTGCTCCATTTCAAAACAAAACATCCTTGCTATTTTCAAAACAAACACCTACACTTTCAAAACATCTTACAAACTTGAAAACATTTTCAAAAGATCAACATCTTTGTATACATTCTTACGAACGAGAATCATTACAAAGTTTGCCTAAACAATGGCCTCTTTACAAAATACTTTCAAAAACCACACAAAGCCCAATTTCAAACAAAAGCAAGTGATCTAGTAAGTAACTAAGAGCCCGTGGAAAACCATGGATGAAAAGGGTGTTAATACCTCCCCTCTTCATAATCTACCCCCCTAACTCAAGAAATAATCTCAAAGGTATTTCCTGTGCTTCTTCACCTTTCCTTTTGGATAAAAGAAAAGTCGGCGGTGATTCTTGCTAACCGCAACATTTGCGATCAAATGCAAAACACCCAAGTCAGTTCTCCCACCGTATCACAACTTCCAATACAAAAATACTTAGTTTGCTTAAAAGCTTCACTAAGAACAATACCCAACTCTTTGCTTAAAATCTTAGAGGAGAACAATAACTTGATAAACATGTAACAATCAGTCAACTCAAATGCATC